GACTCGATTGTCAACTGTTTTGCAAGAAAACCGGATTCAGTGGTTATGTCGGTGGCTGTCAGTGCGGGTTCACACTCTTCGCCAACAAAAGAAGTGAATCCAATAATATTGACACAAATGGGTGAGAATTTCACTATTTTCTATGATCTATAGCCCCAGGAATATTCAAATTAGTTATAACCACAATAGGTGTCTATTCATTGTAAACACAAGAATATCAATTTCTATTTGCTATTTGTATAGATCACAAGTAAATTTATTTTTAATATACTTATTTCACGTTTGGCAATATCTTATTTTATTCAAAATGTATTATTAGTGGCAAAAACATAACATAACTTATTTTTATTCTTAAACTTTATATTTATTAAATGTTAGCAAAATGTTCATATTGTTCAATATTTCTAAGAATTAATAGTTTTTACAATAGTTTTTGTATATCTAAGAACTCATGTTTAGCTATTTCTCAACAATCAATACATTAATATTGTCAATAAATCAGTGGCAAAATTATTTGTTTGATATTTCAGAGAATTTATGACATAAACAAAAAATATGCTATAAATTGAGACAAATTTGCTGATAAGGAGACACAAAAATAAAATATCAATTTTAATAGCATTCATATGAAGATGTATATGTTATCACAATAATCTCTGACCGAAACAAATATTTTGTCAATTTTTTGACAGACAACATTTTTCTCAATTTTCAAAATATAATCAAACAAAATGACTGAACAAACAAGTAAATGACAAAATATTAACTTTAAAAACAAAACTTTTCGATACGATATAGGATAGGTTTGATGAATATTGGATTTATCTCGAAATTAGATAAATAAATTAATTATTTATAAGTAATATAAGATAATATCACATTTAAAACTTAAGAATTGAACAAATTGTTATAATTGACTTCTTTTTATAGCCTAAGAGTAACTATAAAAACAAGACAAAAGTCTATAAATATAAATATTTGAAAGAAAGGCGTCTATATTCTTACAAATAAAAACAAATTAATGTCAGAAACCAATTGTAATTAACCTTTCGAAACAAATATTAAGTTTTATACTATTTATGGTCGGAAATAAGCAAACATTTGTGTATAATCCACAATATTGTGCACTGGATGTCATTAAAATAAGATCTCCAAAAATATTAAAGTATACGTCAACTCGTATGATATGGCAATAAATGCAACCAATACTATAAACAGGAACACTATATTAGATGTGCAAAAACCAAATCAACAAAATTATTTAGTTTAGTGTTTTTTTCTAAGCAAACATTTAGTTTTATATTTAATCAGACAAATGGAATCTTTGATTATTTATTGGACACAATATTTTAGTTAAAAAATATTTTTTGTTTTTGTATAAAGAGTATTTGAGAATTACACAATACTGTTCACTTTCAGACAATAAATCTATATTAATTACAAATGAAATCATATTAAGTATAAAAATACAAATCAATATTGTAAAAAGTAAGTTGAGTATATTTATTTGAGGATTGGATAATATTTCTGCTTTAAATAATATACTATAATATCAAATAAAGTTTGTCTATCCGAAATTAAAATTCATGAGTTGTTTACAACATAAAACTTTATACACAAAATATAACATTTTGAAACATATTTCTGGATTAAAAATGTTAATCCCTTAAATATGAAATGTTAGGAGTTATGACTACCATTATATTCCTTAAGCTGCTATGTTGAATCCCATATCATGTTAAATTAAATTTTAATTAAATGAATTTTAATTAATTGATTTATTTATAAATAAGTTAATTCTTGCTAACTTATTAAATATTTAAATATACGATTAAGAATATTAATGAAAGTAAATTTATAACCAAGATTCCTTTAATTATTTATTAGTCTATAATCAGATTTTAATTGCTCCCAATTAATTTAAACAAACTTTCCTTACATTCAGTTACTTCTCCGGCAATAAAGTGAATGAAAACAAATTCACGAGAATTGGGTTAAAGAGCTCATTCGGTATGGGATCCAATCGACTGGCAAACGACGATCAAAGCAAATACTACTCTCAAAATGGGTTTCCTTCAAGGTTTGTATCAAATATCATTGTCATGAAAAATATAATTATTTATGAAACATATAAATATAACTGAAATATTTTAATAGTTTAAATATATCTTACAATTGTAAGCATGTTGCATGAATTTATCATTAAATGAATTTTTAAAAATGACATTGATTAAATGATTTATTTATTTAACTTCCTTTAGGCCAATATATGGTCACATCTAATATGAAGCGCCGATTTTTGTGAATTTTTTCAAATAATTGTTAACTATAAAAATTAAAACTTATCATAACCATAAATATCTAATAAATGGAAGTATAAATATTTTTTGTTTTATACAATTCCGTTTAGTTAAGAAAATGTTATAATTACTCATTACTGTATATCAATGATATGAAAGTAACTAAATTATTTAATTGTAAAAATCCATTCAAATTATAATCAAATAAAATTTGTCATAAGAAAACGAAAAAGTGATTTTATATTATCGTTGATAATTTAAATATTAAAATATGATTGATTTTTAAAACATTATTCTACTTACAAGTTAGTTATCTAATAAAGTAATTGTTTTTTGTTTGTTAAATATGAATCATTTAAGTAATGTAACCTTAAATTCTTAACCGCAAATCATACATCAAAATGTCAAATACTGGTTATTAATATAACGTATAATAATCTAATCATTAAAATTACTGAAAATCATTAAGAAACTGATAATAATAAATAAACAAAAAAAATTACGGTAAATATTAAAATTCAGATCAAAATGTTCACTTTATTAACATTAAATGTACAAAGTTTTGTCATTTAAAATAATATTTATTATATCATTACTGTTATGTTAGAAAACAATGAAAATAGTATTTTATTTTTACATCTTTATGAAGTGGTAAATTTAAATAAAAATGACATTATATTAAATACAATAATTATGAATTTATTAAACCATAATAGGTTTGTGGTCTAAAACAAGACTGGTACATAAGACCGCATTTAAATAATACATAATACAACAACATTTACATAAACCATAATACTTGATTCAGTATTCAAAATAGTCAAGATATTTCTTGGTCTATTGAATGATATTTAAAACTGATTATAATAAATTGATTTTAATTTAGTATAATATAATGGGAATTGCCATGATGAGGTCATATTGAGGGCAATACTGTTTTGTCATATTTCAAATACTATTGTAACACAACTCTAATTACTTTACCATAAGTTACATTACTTTCACTTATTAAATATTAAAATATTTTGCATATTTCCTAACTTTTTATATATCTAAACAAAAAATCTTTTATCATTTCAATGAAATGTTGTTTTAATTATAATAATTTTATAGTTTATATAAAATATTTATAAATTAAAATATATATTAACACAACAGAAAAGAAATAACATAACACACATAAGAAATAAATTAAAATTAATTAAATTATGATTTTAAACATGTCTTAAAATGGACATAAAAATCAATTATAAACTATTCTAAGACTTATTGATAAAAGTCTTCAATAGTGACTGTAGTCTTCGTACTTCACTACTCGTATTCATCTGATCGTCATTTTCTATAAAATAAGAGTAATTAGTAAATAGTAATCAAGATTTGTATGATTTATATCATTAAGATAAACTAATATTGATAAACACATATTTGTAGACTTATCATAGATTATATTAATGCTCAAATTAAATTAATTATCTTTAAACAAGTCAAATGATCTAATAAAAGTGACATTTTTGTTTTTAATATGATTCTCAAGCCTAAAGTACGGTATTCAAATCTAGTATGTTGTAAGTTTTATTATTAAAAATATCTTTAACTATTATGTTTCTAGCTTTTATCTTAAATGTAACCAGATTTAGACTTACATTTCCAATAAATCTCTGATTACATAGTGAACTAGTTCTTCAATTACTATATATTAATTTAAAATCTATTAAAAACTAGTTTGCGTGCACTAAGACATTTAAATATCAACTACTTAAGCCTTAAATTGCAGCATAGCATAAGAGGTTATCAAGATATATTACTTTCGCTAAAACATATTTATCTCTATAATTAGAATTTTTGAGTTTTGAAGGCATTGTATTTATTTGTAACTATTGTACAGATTTTATAATCCTTAATCTTAAATTTGTATGTATCATATTATAATATAGTACAAAACATTTATTGATTATAATTAACATTTTATATTATGTATTTGCTATACTAATTAATTAAATTCTATACTCAAGAATATAAAATGCTAAATAGGATATAATTTATTAAATTTAGATTGCTACATTGATACCTGTTAAATCTATCAATTGATGGTTCTTTGTTCATAAAACCACTAATATATTAGATATAAGTAAAATTTAAAAATTATTTTGAATTTTTTTGCAAACAAATTAATTAAATATAGAAGTTATTTTTATAAAAGAGATTATTATTTAGAAAAATATAACCTCAAAGAAATGCACATAAATAAAGATTGCGATCACTATATTAATCATTTCAATGATGACTATAAAGTGTTTTGATCTTTGGGTGTCGTCAAGAAGATGAGAAGTCAATGACAATCACATAATTACCTTCGAGTGGTTCGGAAGCAGTTCTTGGTTTCTCGTTTTTCGCTTTCAAATGGTGTTCATTGGCGTCAAAATTGTCGTGCGCTTTTGACGGCAAACCTGTCATTGAGTTCTCCGATTCGGTACTCTTTTTCTCGTTATATCTGTCGAGCAGTGCTTCCATTACTTTGCGATTATATGACGAATGCGAAGGAATCTAAACATAATTCACAAACTATTTTATCCACAAAACAATTATAAAGTACATTGAATATAGCGCTATAGACAATAACATACTCTATATACATTATTTTAGAACTCATTATAATAATAAAAATTTTTAAATTAAACATAATATGAAAATTATTGAACACAAAATTGAAAACACTTACCATTGAAGACCATAAACTATTGTCAGCTCTCCGTCCCATTCGAGGGATAGATTTGGATCCAGTCTTCGTGAAGAACTGTCCATCGATTATAAGGAATAACTCAACAAATAAAATGGTGGCAAATATCAACTTAATATGAGATAAAGATTGCATTTTTTCAAATCGATCCAAAACTCCAAATCTGTTGATAAAACAAGAATTAGAGAAATGGTTTAGAAGTGAAAGTTTTATATATGGAAAAATTTTACAAATAATTTGTTTCTCTTTTTGAAAAAATCATGATTATAAGTGACAATTGATCAGACACACATTTAAGGAATAGACGTCTGACTTGATAATCTGACTATTTATCTAATTGCAGGCACCTGTATGTGAGATGGACCTTGTTTAGAGCTCAACAACACTCAGTTTTTTGTAATAAAAATTAAATTTGAATTATGTTATGATAATCTTAAGGACACGTCCTATTTGACCATTACCTCCATTACCACCAACACTATCAACACAATTGACACCTTCTTCAAGGGGAGACACAAATGTTATATTTATTTAAATCTGTTTTATAAATAAATTCATGATTTTTGAGATTTTGATATTATTAATAGAAATCTGAACGCCATATAAATGTAATCATTGATGAATATAATGGCAATCAGACAAATGATATTCATATTGAAAAGCCAAGGATGAAACACTTGTTTTTACATCCTATCTATTTGTCTCCTTAGAGTTCATCAATAAAATTATTTTAAAAATATGTTTGTTTATCAAATCAAATTATATCGAAAATAAGAATTATTATTATGAGTAACAAAATAGTGTTTCACTTTACCTTAACATATATTTAGGGAAAAAATAACTTTCAATTAAATGATAAAATAACAAAAAATTATTATTAGATTTTAAGCACTACTGTCTTGCATGGCGTTCACAGTTTAAATAAATTAAGTGAATATATGAAACATATTTTTATAAATAGTATATAATTGTAAATGGTTAAATGCGTGAAATATATACATCATTGAAATTTAATGTCATGTTGAGCGGGTAAACTATTATTGGCCCAAATTATGAGTTTTTTATACGAGATTTTTACTGAAATTTTCGTTAACCTTCTCTTATCTTTCATCCTATAGTAAGTGTCTAATGATAAGGACAGTGCACTTGCAGTGAATACATCGAAAGACTTATTCTTTTTCCCTAATTTTCAATTTATAGCATACATTCATATAAATATAAATATTTGGTACAGTATTTATCGCGAAAACTCATCATATATTTGTTATCCTAAAACTCATCCCTTAAGTGAAGTCATTGATATCCCAAAGCTATATCAAAAATGGTATTAAAATATCTCATATATAAATGGCATTGAAAAGTTTGCATAAATAAAAAGCGAAATATCATAAAAATAAAAAAGTTTCAGTGATATTTTTGACAAATTAAACAAGTTCACTAACAGCGAGAGAGAGAGAGAGAGAGAGAGAGCAAATAGATATTAATTTTCAAACTTACCATAAACTTCAGACACGAAAAATACTAATGAATTAACTTTTGTGTTTCCAATTGGGGTTCAAATGTTGAAATATCCAGCGATTTTGAGACTACAAAATACTCTCGTCTAATGAATTAACAGAAATTTGTTTTGAAAAATAGATTCAATTGTAAATTTAAATGTAACTACTCATGATAAAAAAGATTATTTTATTTGCTAAATACGAAACTACCAAAAATGACTGTAAAGCACAATTTCATTTGATGTTTTCATGTCTTATACCTTATAATCCAACAAAAGCTTTAAATCATTATTAAAGTCATTGAGCAGATTTGATGAGAGGTTTATCTCTTGACGATTAGTTTGTTTGTTAAAATAGAAATCACTGTAAAAAGTATACTGTATTTGTGTGGAGTGTATATGAAAAATGTTGTTTTATCGATACACTAATGAGTATTTACTTCATTAAACTTTCAGACATACAAACTGTTCAGACATAACTGATTTGGTCGGAGATGTGCCTAATTATGGCATATATTAGCGTAAAAGTAGATATTTTAAGCAACAAATAATATTTGCCAAACAAATCTTGTAGTCACTGAAATCGTATGCAAATAATAGCCAATAGGATGGGCACTAATTTAATTAAAGGGTTTAATTTGATTATTATTTATTAAAAAAGTGAAGCTAAGTTCAAACTGGTTTGATAATAAATTAGCAATTTTGACCATTAAATGCGGGTCTATATTAACATTATTAAGACTATAATTACCGATTATATAAGGAAATTATTATTCATAATTTTATGTAGTCAAACATTATGTTTATTAGCCATATTAACTCGTTTATGTATTCATGTAAAGGCAAGTGTTTTATTAATAATACAATTTAAATCTTGATATTTTAAAATCATACTATTTAATTGTTAAATATCCAATGCATTTTAAAATTCACTATACTTCATTTTTCAATATAATTATTTCATTATTTAATTTAAACTAGCAATTTATTTAAAGCACAAACACCATATTTAATAAATAAGTAAACAATTTTAAAAATGAAAATATTTCTGTGTTTTTGTAGAAATTAAAAAATTATATTTTGACAACAAAGTTTGAAAGTTTAATGGTATGGAAAGTTTGTATATCAATTCATCACTTATAACAGTTATATAATATTGTTTTTATTTGTGACATAAACTTAAGGAAAATATATATTTATATATTAAAATTCTGTAAATAAAAGGAAATTATAGAAATTATATTTAAAATATTTCACATTAAAAGAATTTAGTATAAAAAATAACATAAATAAATTGAGATAAGAAACATTTGTTTGAGAAATGTGGTTTGAGTTCAACTTTAAATTAACATTTGGTTTTTAAAAACATTGAAATTTAATATAAAGATTTATTAAATACAAATTTAGTTATATTACATTATAATATTTAAACTTAATCTTTATTATAAACATTTAATTTTAATACAATTTATACCTAAAAACGGGTAAAACTGTACACTTTTAAGGACTAAAACAGTAATTTTTAATTAAAATAATAATGAAAGCTATACTGTACAGTACAGTACATCATTTAAAAGACTGATTATCATAGAGTAAAATGTAAAATAACAACATAAATATTTTAAATCTATAAAAATAAATTCTTACAGACTATTTTGCCTCAAACAATATAAATAAATAGAAATTTATTTTTAAATTAAAAATACTCGGGGACTAAATTCTTATAGAATAGTGAATATTTTTTATATATTCATTTAAACACATTGCCATATCTGTCGATAGCGATAGTAATCGAAAAATATTCATTATTATCTTCCATACTACGTGATTATAGTCATAAAACTTAAACGTAGCTTGATTATTCATACAAAAATTAAAATTCTTATAAATACTCAAACAGAATGTGTGCTATTTTGAACATAAAATCATATATTTGTATGAATAATCAAGCTAAGTCTAAAGTTTTATGACTAAAATCACTATGTTTGGAAGAAAATAATGAATCTTTTTCGATTACTATCGCTATCGACACATATGGCAATGTGTTTAAATGAATTTCAGATATTCTCAGAAAAAATAACAATTATTTAAGAATATTTTATTTATTTAAAATTGATAAATAGTATTTTATGTTGGAAGAATGTGCACTTAAAATACTTAAAGTATCTGTGCACCTAAACAAAGTGAAATATAGTATC